TGGCTTTAGGAAATAAATCAAGAGGATTAATTAAGGGGGAGGGGCCGGTGGTTTAGAGCTGATGGAGAGGATTTGGGAATTGATTTTGGGTGTATTTAATAGGCTAGGGGGATTTAGGAAAGTAATTAACTAAATCCTATTTGAATTTGAAATTCAAATCGATTTAATTAAAGAACTTTCCTAAAATAGTTTTGATATTTTAGGAAAGTTTTTGAATTTCAAATTGAACAAATTTGAATTCAAAATTCTGTCCCAAAATACTTTCATCCAAATTAGGCAAGGGTTTTAATGGGGATGAAGAGGTGGACGGTGGCCGGCGGCTAGAGGATTAGGCCGGCGGTGTGGAGGGGTCGGGTGGGATGCTGGCCGTGGGTGTTGGACGGGGGAAAAAGAGCGGGTTTCGGGTGAGGCTAGAATCCGACGGCCAAACGAAGATGGGGAGGAGGAAGAAGATGAAAATGACTACTAGGAGCAATAAGAAGGAACAAAAATAGAGAAACAAAATATCAAAGATACAACAGCGAGCCCGGACGCATCCTGTGGCTAACGGGTACTACGTTGCCCTTCTCCAAGGGACTTCACGCCACGAGTCCGAACTCATCCTGCGGCTAGTGGAAACTCCAACTCCCTCCCATAGGGATTTCACTAACGTTCTTCCCAAAGGAAGAACCCAAGTGCAAAACACAAATTTTTTTTATTAATAATACATCATTCCAAATACAAGAGAAGGGGCCTCTATATATAGGCCTCAAAAGAAATTAAAAGACAGATTAGCCCCTTGGGCTTACATAAGACAAAAGGGTAAAAAAGGGAAATTGCAAAATTAAATCAAAATACACTTAATAAACTAAAATAAAACAAAGTGATCTCGGTCGTCGATTTTCAGCTCCTCCTCGGATAAGCATGGACGGTTGGATGTCCGCATCATGTTCTCTCCCCTTCTTCCTCTTCTATAGAGTCCAATGTCGCACATTTACTTCAAGATTTATGTAAGTTTATATATATATCATCAGGCGTAAGCCTCATGCCGGTGAGGCAAGGCGGGCCTCAACCAAGTTTAGGCGCAAGCCTCCTCAAGAGAACTCGAGGCGTAAGCATCGAGGCGTTTTTTACTGGAATTGCGCAAAGGCAAGCCTCATATTGCGCAATTTTAAACCATGGCATCAGGTGCCTTTTTGCGAGCAGTTTCTAAAAAAACTCGAATGAAATTAGTATGATGTTAATAATTATTATTAAATATTATTGGAAGGTAAGACGATACCTTGTATCTATTATAATTAAGGTATAAATGAGGATACAATTTTTAGAGTTAAGGCTGTATGATTAAAATTGAGATATGTCGCAAGAGTTTTGTGTGATAAGGGGATATCATGGAGGCTTAAAGATAAATTTTATTAAATCACAATTATACCTTAGATTAAATTAAGCTATTATTTATTATATTAGATAAAATATTGGAGTGACATCTATTGAAAACGAGTAAATTGAAGATAGACTTAAGTGGTTTGCAAATGACACCATTCCCAAACAAATAAAATTGTTGAATTTTTTGCAATAGAAACAAACTATTTGCAACTGACACCATTCCCAAACAGATAAAATTGCTGAAATTTTTGCAATGAGAAGCATTACAGAAAGAGATATACATAGATTGGAAGCAAGCAAATAGATGTACACAGAAAGTTTGAAAAAAAAAAAGGAAGTTGCAGAGTAATGAAAAGTCTAAACATGAATTACATAATAGATGAGAGATAATAATCACAATACATGAATTTTGTGAAGGGTGCTCAATTGCAGCAACCACCAGCCTGGGATGAAGATCCATCCCTTCCTCCAGCTGGACCTTGTATTCCTCCATATCCAATTTTGATTCCATAAGACTGTAAAAATCATATTTGAATTATATTAAATATTAGTATAAATATGAAAAACTCGGTGTTTCAATATCAATCTTAATTAATACTTAATTAGATACTAAGGCTTTGTTTGGAACGGTTTTTTTGCTGCTTCTTAAGGAAATTTTTTAGTACAAAAATCTTAATTTTTTATTAAAAGTTGTTATAAGAAGTAGGAAGAAAGCCGTCCCAAACGAAGCCTAAAACTTAAATCCATAAAAGCACTATTCTAGAAAACTACCTAAACTGCAATTCTACAAAAAAACTACTTTTCAACTTCCACAAAATTAGACTTTTGCTCTCAGCTATTTATCAAACATCTAAAAATTGCTTAGACCCTTTAAGAAAGAAGATAGGTGCAGTAGAAAGCTATGAAATTTATACAAGACCTTCACAGTTCTCAAGTGTCTATCTCATTGCATCAAATAAGCCTAACAAAAGTATTTATTTTATCATAAAATATCATAATACAACCATCTAGATAGGAGAGAAGAGGAGAGCAACTAAATACCTCATTTGACACATCAAACACACCATCCTGAATCTTCTTGTAGATGGTTGCTGCTGTGTTAATGAATGCCTGTACAATATTCAAAACATTATAAAATGATAAAAGAATAGGTTAAAAGAAACAAGGTTAGTAAATTTCATTTACTGCTAACCTCCTCAACATTCTGTGCAGTTTTTGCAGAAGCTTCCATAAAAATAAGTCCATGTTCTTTGGCAAACTGTTGGCCTTCCTCAATACTTACAGCCCTTCTATGAGAAAGATCAGATTTGTTTCCAATTAACATAATAGTCATATTAGCATTTGCATGTTGTCTTGCATCTTCAAGCCAGCTTGCAAGATGATTAAATGTTTCTCTCCTGTAAATCAAAATGAAAAGGAGGTATATGGTAAATAAACAAAAATTAAATAAGTTACCAATTACTAAGGCATCACAAATGGCAGGGCATACCTGGTAATATCATATACCAGCAATGCACCAGCTGCTCCTCTATAGTAGGATCTTGTAATGGATCTGAATGATTCTTGACCTGCCTGTAATAGAGAGAGTTTTGAATGAGATGATCAGAAATGGTCAAAATTATAAATAACATTATACTTCTTAAGCGTGAGCATTTTTAGTCGCAAATGCCTGAGAGGAACAAGATTAGCTTATTAGAAACATATTGATTTTAGCTCGAATAAAATCAAAATCTCAAGGAAATCCAGAAATTGTTGAAGAAAATTGAAAATATATGAATTGTTTGGTTGGATGCAAATAAAATGTATTGAAATATATATATATATATAGTTTGTTAAGGTACATTTGAAATGAAATGTCACTTAATGCTGCTATCAACAAAATGAACCATAATATGAAATAGGAAAAAATTTGGATCTCTAGCCCAAATTTACAAAGATTCAGGGTTGATGTTAGTTGATAACTAATCATAAAAACCTATTATAAAATTCAAGAAATAGATTTTTCTAAAAAAGTGCTGATATCTCATACACAATACATGATCGAAGAGGCTATTCACACAGATTCATCCATCTCCCAACATGGGACAAGTAGATCAAAGGAAGATCTAATGCAAGTCCTATTTGTTTGGATGTTTTAAAATACATATATTGTAGGAATGCAAGATAATTGAAATCCATGAATTTAAGAAATGCAATTGTTTGGTTGAATGCAAATAAAATACATAGAAATAAATTTTTTTATGTTTATTATGATATATTTCAAATGCATTGGAATGTAATGAGGGCACACTCAGGATGCGTCAATGAGCTGTGGCTAGCAATGCCAGCGAGATTGCAAGCTTCAAGGTTTCCCTGACCTTGGAGTTCACCCAATTTGAATGAATTCCAAATTTATAAAAAATGGCCAATCAGAGCATTCCAATCCTCTTCCTACCAAACACTCTGAAAAAATCAAAACACTTGCATTTCTTTTACTCTTTACTCCTAGAACTAACAACCATAACAAAAGATAAATGGAGTCAGATGAAGAGGAAAGAGAAGAAGATCCATATGAAGATGAAGAAGAACGATATGATGATATGGTCAAAGATCCTTTAGAGAGAATGTCTGCCATTCGACTGAACTTGCCAACTTTCTGTGATAGGAATGATATTGAAAAGGTAGATAACTGGATCAACGTCTTAAAAACTTAGTTTCTAGGATATAAAAGTACATAAAAGTCTAGTTTGCTTCGATGAAACTATTCTCACACACACTTACGTGCTTAAACTTAGAATCTAGTAATCACGATCTATCAAAACTGAAATTGTCAAAATTAAAAGATAACTTAAGTCAATTTTACCCCTATAATCATGAAAATGATAATTGGATTCTTATGGAAACAACTTGAGCAATATTGCAATCTATGTAAGACTAGTTCACATAATGTTGAAGGCAAGCAATAACCTAAGATATTTCATTAGATGAGAAATCAATTTTATAAAAATAAGTAACGGTGTAATATGAAGGACACTAAAAAGCTAAAACTATTTCCAATTTATTTTTTATTGAGGCCAACTCTCATGGACTAAACAGTAAACCAATTTCACATAAGGCTTAACGAGGGCAGTGAGCAGCAAAATGAATATAGGTAAACACTAAGTGCGAGCAAGATAAATATAAGGTAGCACTTGCTCCATATGTTTATTTATCTTCCCTTCTAAATTATCCTCTCCTTTCATACATGCCTTCTTTATCTTTCCCAAGCCCTAATCCTACCTCTACTGGCTGAAGCATCTAAGGAAATCTAAATTTAATGCTATATTTTGATTAGGTTTTACATGAAAAGCTCCAAGCCTTCTAACAGGGTGACAGTACCTCAAATTAATAAAGTTATAACACATTCCTTTTTTGGTTTTGGGTCCATTTAATAAAAATGAGTACAACAACATCAAGTCTTTATCCCAATACGTGAGGTCGGCTACATAAATCTTTTTTCTCCATTGTGTCCTAATAAGAGTCAAATTCTCATTTAAATCTAATAAACAAAAAATCATTTCTAATAATTTTTAACCACCAAGTCTTTTTAGGCCTATCTCCATCAATTTAAAAAAATGAGTAGAGAAAGAGAATTCACAAGATGATGCTAAATTAATGAGATAAGGTTAATGATGCTTATGATAAAGTGAAAAAACTTTTATAATAAAAGAAGGACAATTGGTCATCATCGGCTTGGTTTTTCCCTTTTTTTCCTTTAGAAAAAAAGCTACACAATGATAGTTTTGCATCATTGAACTCCACCTCAGTAGACATCTCCTGATTACGAGACTATCAAACTTTCACAAAAATGTAATTAGATCAACTTTACAGTATTGCAACCTGTGTATTACAAGCAAAGTGTAACAAAGTATTAGATTCCACAAGATAATTCGATAATTTACATAATGAATTGTTCTCAGAATGTCTAAATTGCACTTCTACCTCCAAACATCAAGTAATGTACATATATATTCTATTAGGAGGGATGAAACCCTGTAGTAAACTCTCACTTGAAAAGTTCTTCAAGGACCCTCAAATCTAAAATACAAAAGCAACCTAAACAGCTATTTCTTAAAAAAACACAAAGCTTCCATTTACAAATATCTCTTAAATTGTTCTGTTTATCAAATCATGTGACGCATCTAGAAAAGCCAGAAGGTAAGAATCAACTTTAAAACTTTTTTCCATGCAAGGTATATTATTGCCAAATACCACATTTTAGACAAGTAAATGGGTAGTAATCTAAAAAAAATTACTAATTCATAACAAGGTGAAAAATACTACCGTATCCCATATTTGCAATTTGATCGGCTTGTTATCAATGGTAATCATCCTAGCACCAAACTCAACACCAATAGTCAAATCATGTACAGGTTGAAACCTCTTGTCCGTGAATTGCAATAGAAGGCATGATTTCCCAACACCTGAAAGGAAATTATAAGAAATGTTACATTTCACACAAAAAAAAGATTTTACTTACCAACACCGAATCCAAAGAAAAATGATTTCATGACTAATAAAGGTTTACAGAAGAAATAATAAACATAGTTTAAAAACACATGGCAATGTATATTCCCCTAAGATCCATTATTCCAATTCTAAATTGAATTTGCAACATGATAAACAGTTTCTTAGTAAGCAGATTTCCTAAAAATCACACACTTCCATTCTCATCAAATCAACCCATCAACTTGAAATTCCAATCAGTTGCTTCCAGAGTCAAGATCACATACAAAATGCCAAACAATTGGTTCACAAAAAACATATTTTTCCTTCAGTAGCAGTTATAGTCTTTTAGAATTAAAAAAAAAAACAATAATAATTTTCATCAAAACAACCATCCATTAACACGCAACAACAATCCATCTTCTAATTCACAAAAGCTATCTAGAAAAGATTCAAACAGCCAACTTGTAGCTCTCCTTCTAATAACTTTTACTTAGATAAGATATTTCACTCATGTATTAGCTCACTGACATAAATATTAGATCCGTGAAGATCGTTAATCTAACACAGATTTTTTTTATAGCAGTAACAAAAAAAATTAATCCAGCCACAACAGAATCAGTTGATATGACCCCATTTTAAGCCTGAATTTATTTAGTGGTATTATATTATGTGTTCCCCATTCCGTAAATCCCCTCAAAGTCGAACCTTCACATCTTCATCCAATCCAAAAATCAACTTGCTATTATTAGAACTCAAACGCACAACAAATAGCCTCCACAATCCAACAAATTCAGATCCAAATCAATCACTGCAGATGCTACTCACAGATAATAACAAACAGAATTTCATTCAATTGGTTCCCAAAAAAGCAGATTTTTCCATCAATAACCCAAAACTACTTTACAAGTTCACGATCAAAAACCAATTTTGATGACAATAAAACATCAATTAAGGCAGAAGAGCATTGCTTCTTCTGATTAGCAAAACCACTTAAGAAGGGATCAGAGAAGCGCACCAGTGTCTCCGATTATGATGTACTTGAAAAGGTAAGCGTAAGACATTCTTCCTCAGATCCGGTGCTCGTTCTTCTTCAGATCAAAATCAAAATAGCAAACGCTTCGGCTAATCTGACGAAAAAGAGGAATTCCTGTCGGGAGCAAGAATCGCGAAGAGGCGTGACTGCGTAAGAGAGCTGAACTTTTTCTTTAGTGGTCTGCGAAACGGAAGAGCCTGGTATGTGGGAGATAAAGGCACCTGAAATTAGGACCCGTCATTGGTACCAACTTGTACGCGGTTGAAATGTGCCGCTTAATTTTGCGTGAGACTTTAAATTTTTTTTTTTTTTTCCTGTCCTTCGTGCTGAAGCAAACCTAGACTTAGATTAAAGAGTACAAATTTATACAAAATATTATGTCCTAGTTAGAAAAGCACTATGGCACGAGAATTGTAGATCGTTAATAATCTATTTGGTTATCTATGAATTTGTTTGAGATGATTTTCTTCTTGTGTTTTAAAATATTTTTTTTTAAAAAAAATTAGTTTTAAAAATTTATGTACTAGAAAGTCTATTTAGAAAGCATCAAGAATTTCGTCTCAAATGAAGCCTATATTGATCATGCATTGTTCTTGATATGTCATCAAAAAATTATCTTGATCGAGCACGAATCTCGAGACAAAATCAGGTTGGAAACTTCAAAAATTAAATTTGGGATCATCTGAACTTCAATTTCAGCAAACTTATAGTCGAGCTGAGTGTCTCAAAAATACAAACCCAACAACAACAAATTCAACTCAATCTAAGTCCAAATGGGTCCAAATCACGGACACGACTTGTTGTTCGAAAGTTTGAAACACAACTTGGGTTACCAAACGGTTTCCAGATATAACGTGCTTATAGTCGAATCGAGTGGCTCGACGAGACGAATCCAACGAGCCCAAGATCACTGAATTCCAACATCATTAAAACCTTCAAATGTCTGATGAGCAATACACGATGAAGGGATTCAATATCGGTCGTTCATCCAACCACTCCACATTTGCCCTTGATCCTCCTCCTATTTATGACTCATTTTATCCTCAAAAAACTATAAATAGCCACTCATTTCTCTTGAGAGGGGGGAGGGGACACAAACAAGAAGAAGCAAGCAGAAGAAGATAAGAGTAGAAGGGAAGAAACTCCTCCTCAACCATCGTCGGGAATATGTCCGACTTCCATGGAACACCGGAATTCTGCCCGACTTCCACGGGATGCCGGAATTCCGCCCGACTTCCAAGTGACGCGGGAATTCCACCCGACTTCCAAGTGACGTCAGAGCTTCACCCGAACTCCAAGTAACACCGGAATTATGCCCGAATACCATCTAACGCCGTAGTTCTCCTCGGCCGCCAACTGACTTCGGACTTCTACTCGACGTCGGACTTATGCTCGTTGTTGGGTTTTCGCCGGACATATATCTGATGTTGGATTTCTGTTCATTCTTGGACTTCTACCTTATGGTCCTTTTGACTTACTTCGCCCACCGACTATAGTCCTTTTGACCTCTGTCGCTCGCTAACTACGGTTGTTCTGACTTTCATCGCCCACCGACTACAGTCCTTCCGACCTTTGTCGCCCACCGACTTCGATCCTGCCGACTTATGTTGCCCGCCAACTACGATCCTACTGATCTCCGTCGCCCGCCGACTACGATCCTTCTGACTGACGTCGCCCATCGACAATGGTCCTTCAGACCAATCAAAAACATCAATAGTGACTCTTTATATTCCCACTATGTAGTGTACTATATAAGATGTACATCAAGCTAAAGCCTTCCCCCAAAGAAGGGCCTTATTTGTAATCAACTACAAATACTAGTGGATTCATTTAAACTGAGCTAGACCCCGTGGTTTTTCCCCGTTTTTAGGGGTTTTCCATGTAAAAATCTTGGTGTCTCATATGAAGGCTACACTCTCTCTCTTATTTGATTACGTGCTGGATTTTCGTACAACGTTAAGACGTTAAACTTTATATTTCTCTACCGCCACAAATACTTCAGGACGCAACAGTTCTTTTTATATTGAAGTGCCTTAATGATATCATAATTAGAAAATTTGGGACACTCGCTTTGACCGTAAGCATGCAAAATTAGGAATTTTTTTATCGTCTAATTATTGTCATTGTTGCGTGCTAGAATATATGCGGTGATAGAGTTGTAATTCTACGTCTTAGCGTTGCACGGATATCCAGCTCACACACAGAGAACATAATATTTTTTACCTGGAAAAGCCGGAAAGGAAAATAACCACAGGGGCCTAGCCCAGTTGAAAATGATTCCACTAAAATTTGAGAAAAGTATAATGGTCTAACTCATCCTTGAAGACGACCAGATTACAAATATCAACTGAGAGTTTTGCAAAAGTCCAACGTCACTCCATTGTCAGATGGTGGTTCGGCGGTACACCGGTGTCAGGCGGTGGATTGGCAGTGCCACTTCAGTGTCAGTTGGTACTTTAGCTTCAGATGGCACTTCGGCGTCCCTTGGTGGTCCGTCGATGGTGCGGTAGAACTACGGCGGTGGTGCGACAGCACTCCGGCGTCCCTTGGTGGTCCAGCGATGGTGCGGAAAAACTACGGCGATGGTGCGGTAGCGCTCCAGCATCCCTTGGTGGTCCGGCGGTGGTGCGGCAGAACTACGGTGGTGGTGCGGCAGCACTCCGGCGGTGGTCGAGGAGGAGCTAGGCGGCTAGAGCTTTCTTCCCTCTCCTCCTTCTCTCTTGGCTTCTCCCTTCCTTTCATGAGGAAATGAGGTTCTATTTATAGAATTCTTGAGTGGCATGGCTTGAAAATAAGTGGAAGATCAAGGATAAATTTAGAGTGGTTCTAATGGACGGCCGATCTTGATTCCTACCATCATCCATCGTTCAATGGATATTTGATTGTCTTAATGATATCAGAATTTGATGATCTTGGGCTCGTTGGATTCGTCTCGTCGAGCCGCTCAATTCAATTATAAGCATGTCATGATTGGAGATCGTTTGGTAACCCAAATAGTGGTTCGATCCTTCCAAAAATGCTTCGAGTCTTTCATTTTGACTCATTTGGGCTCAGATTGAGTCAATTTTGGTGTCGTTGGGTTTGTGTTTCCTATACGCTCAGTTTGACTGTAAGTTTGTTGAAATCAGAATTCGGATTGTCTCTGATCTAATTTTTAAAGCTTCAAACTTGATTTTTCCTCTAGATTCGTGCTAGATCAATGTAATTTTTTGATGATGTATCAGTCATGAAATTTTTATTATACTTCAAGTGCTTGATTTGAGCTCATTTGGTGTTAGGTAGAATGACTTTGATATTAATGATTTATCTGAGAGAGAGAGAGAAAAGGGAGGATGATGTAGTCGACTTGTTATATATTTTTTATATAATGAGCTTTGGATGGAATTCTTCAAATGAGATTTTGACTGTTTAAAAAGCTCCAAGATTCAAACTCGCTAGAAATATGGCTTGAAATTGGCTCAACTTGAAATCAACTTGGTTTGATTTTGAGCTGATTTTGAGCGGCGCTCCACACTAGAAATTGATTTCGACCTAACTTTGAGTACCACTTCATACTAGAAATTGGAAATTGATTCGAGTTTATTCAGCTGGCTCAAATATAATGTAAGTTAACTCAAAATCTAACTCTAAATGAGTATTTATAATAGTCGGCTTCGGCTTCATTTGGGACTTTCGTATTGCTTCTTAAAGCAACTTTTTATTATAAAATTAAGCAATAAAGATAATACAGTCCAACTTTATAGTGATGAGAACAGAAGAGCGTAAACTCAAAGTGATAAAAAATGTAAATGTCTTCTTATAGTACTATCAGTATACAATTTTCTATCCATTAATAAAAATTGGTCATTATGATTTATATATAAGAATCGAGATAAGTTAAAAGAGTACCTAATCTTTCAATTCATTTTAAAAATTTTCCCTTTTTATTTTGAAACTCTAGATATTGTTTGAAACAAATTTTCTGCAAGAAAATGTGGTATGTTAGAGGACAACAATGGTAATGTATGATGGCAAAAGTATCTATAGAGAGAAAAAGAGAAATAAAGAGAGGTCAAGTTTAGGTTGTCAAAGATGAAGAGATCACCAATGTGTTTCATTGTACTAATTATGTATAAAATTTAGATGATTGTAGAGGTCTCTGCATTGCTATAAGAATCCATTTGACAATTCTTCATTTCTTCTATTATTAGCTTATTTGAGATGTAGTGTTTCTTTAATAAGTTTTTTTTTTCAAGTTTGATAAGTTTTTTTATATGACGTGCTTAAGAATTTTATTTTGTATCACATCGTATATTTATTCTACTAATTATATATAAATTTTAATATTTGTATTATTTTATCATATATTTAACAACAAAAATTTTCATTAATATTAACAAAAAAAACCTTTTTTTACACTTCCAACACAATCCAGTTCGATCCTATCTAAGTTCAACCTAATCTGATCAAGTAAACACTTGTTCTCATCAAAAGGAAGCCACCTATCACTTACTGAAGTGCCATCACTCACAGATAGGGCACTATAAATAAACCCAACTCTTCATTTCCATGCATATCTACAACAATCAAAGGAGAAGAGAAAACGGCCCCAAACTTGTAGGGATTTGATGGAGATGGGTTTTCATTCTGATGTGTTGGGCATTAGGGCAAGCAAGTGATCATTTTTCATGGTGGAAGCTTCTCCCAACAAGTCCAGCTTCTAATGTGATGGGCATTGGTTGGGTAACTTAAGTTGAAGGATCAAAGTCATACAAAGCTAGTCTAAGGATTTTAGTCAAGTGACAGTGGTCGGTTAAACATAATTGGATAGTCACAGGAGGGTGGTGATCTGACGATGACCGTCAGATGGTGATCTAATGATTGCAATCGAGAGGTGATCCAATGCGGTTGTGTGATGGTCTACAATTGCAATTGAGCAATGGTCGATGATGGCATGTTTGAATGCATGTATGATTTAATTAAATAGGATTTCATAAATCCTCTAAATCTAGATTTACTAAATCTTGAAAGAGTTAAATCCTAAAAATTGTTTGATAAAACAATATGTTAAATCTTGACAAATTCTATGAGACCGCTTGACAATGCTTTCATGATTTAAGGCGAGTAACTCGTATGACATTTGTGATTTAAATATGAGTTACTTATTAATTCTAATTTTAATTAACACCAATAAATTATAATTATGAATATTATAACTACGATATTATTTTAATAAGTTTTTTTTTAATAAATAATATATTTAGCTATTATTTTAATA